ACCGAGCAGACGGTCAGCCATGGAGACTACACGAACATCAAGGGAGAACGGTACGAAGCGAAGCGCCCGAAGGACTCGGATATCATGAGAGGAGATGGCTCGTTCACCGAGCAGACGGTCAGCCATGGAGACTACACGAACATCAAGGGAGAACGGATACGAAGCCAAGCGTCCGAAGGACTCGGATATCATGAGAGGAGATGGCTCGTTCACCGAGCAGACGGTCAGCCATGGAGACTACACGAACATCAAGGGAGAAGCGGTACGAATACGAAGCTCCCCAAGGACTCGGATATAATGAGAGGAGACGGCTCATTCACCGAGCAGACGGTCAGCCATGGAGACTACACGAACATCAAGGGAGAACGGTACGAAGCCAAGCGCCCGAAGGACTCGGATATCATGAGAGGAGATGGCTCGTTCACCGAGCAGACGGTCAGCCATGGAGACTACACGAACATCAAGGGAGAACGGATACGAAGCCAAGCGTCCGAAGGACTCGGATATCATGAGAGGAGATGGCTCGTTCACCGAGCAGACGGTCAGCCATGGAGACTACACGAACATCAAGGGAGAAGCGGTACGAATACGAAGCTCCCCAAGGACTCGGATATAATGAGAGGAGATGGCTCATTCACCGAGCAAGACGGTCAGCCATGGAGACTACACGAACATCAAGGGAGAACGGATACGAAGCCAAGCGTCCGAAGGACTCGGATATCATGAGAGGAGATGGCTCGTTCACCGAGCAGACGGTCAGCCATGGAGACTACACGAACATCAAGGGAGAACGGATACGAAGCCAAGCGTCCGAAGGACTCGGATATCATGAGAGGAGATGGCTCGTTCACCGAGCAGACGGTCAGCCATGGAGACTACACGAACATCAAGGGAGAACGATACGAAGCCAAGCGTCCGAAGGACTCGGATATCATGAGAGGAGATGGCTCGTTCACCGAGCAGACGGTCAGCCATGGAGACTACACGAACATCAAGGGAGAACGATACGAAGCCAAGCGTCCGAAGGACTCGAATATCATGAGAGGAGATGGCTCGTTCACCGAGCAGACGGTCAGCCATGGAGACTACACGAACATCAAGGGAGAACGATACGAAGCCAAGCGTCCGAAGGACTCGAATATCATGAGAGGAGATGGCTCGTTCACCGAGCAGACGGTCAG